AATGTTCGGCTCCGCCCGAACTTAGACTTTCTTACTTGTTTTAAGTTAGTATTAAATAACCCGAACTAAATTCACTGTACGAGTAAATACTTGTACTGTACAAGTAAGAAATGATTTCTTATAGACGTTTTCAACAGTCTTTGCTATTCATTAATGCTTTTAGAAAGAATTTTCTAGAAATCAAAAGTATGTAATTCTCAGGTTTTTGAAATTTGCGCTTTGCCTTACAAAAATGCAATGGGCTACAAAACTGCAACCCTGAAATTTTTTTAAAAACTCCTATTAAGTAGTAGTAGTATGTATAGTATGCGGTTTTGCTGTAGTATGGGCATTACTTTTATAAAAATTTATCAAATAAAATAACAAAGCAGCCAGTGCTGTTTTTTTGTTTTTTTTTGCATTTATGTTATTTTCCTTGTGCATTTATCTTATGTTACTGTATTGATTCCCATCATATGTATGTATACTAACTGCGTTGCAATGTATTATTCACAAGTTGAAATATATTATAAAATTGAAAACAGCAAGTAATTTGTAAGCAAAAACCAAAATCGACTTCAATTCTCATATGATCCAATGACCGGATCTAAACCAGATTAGTATGGGACCACCTATGAGACACTACCTTTCCAACGCAAAAAGAATTATCGAAATCGGTTGACGTGGTCCAAAGTTATGGGGGAACATACATAAAAAAAATAAAAATATTCTGACGAACTGATAACCTCCTCCTTTTTTGGAAGTCGGTTAAAACCTAAAAATAATTGAAAATAATAAAATAATTATATTAATCAATTAATTAAAGCAATCAAAAATAATTGAAAATAAGCAAAAATAATCAAATAACTATATTGATCATGCAATTAAAAAAAATCAAAAATAATTGAATAATTATATTAATAATGTAATTAAAAAAATAAAAAAAAAATAAAAAATAACAAATTACTTACATATGTAATTAAAATTAATTAATATTTTTTTAAAGTAATATATTATTAATCCTTAAAAAGGTGCAAATAATAGTCTTTAATCACTAAACGGTTACCCAAAAATCATGCTTTAAATAATAATCATTATGGCAATTGATTGAGAAGTGCACGTGCAAACATTTCTTACATGCCATAAAGGAAATTCTTCACATACAGCAGTGCATAGCATGTATTGAGACGCTTGGTATTAGTAGTTGCGTCTAAACAGTAATCGTCGGGATTAATTAATGTTTTATAGAACCAAAATTTCTTGTGGGCCCATGTATGTTTGAGGAGGATAGTTTATTGTGCAGAAGTCACTTATGCTAGGCGTGGTTGCAAGCGGGCAACTAACTAAGCCGCCGACTTAAAATAATTTTTAATAGCATAAATTGAGGTTATAAGACCCTTCGAATTAAATATGTCTACAAGCTTTTATTCACAATCCCACTTAATAGAATGTACGATACCTTAATGGAAAAGTTACTTCGATTCAGCTTTTTGATGGTCACAGCTGCTATTTAAAGGAATGTCGCGAAACGGCGACAATAACTAATACGGCGGTAGCTCTAGCAATTCAATAGCTTTATCGAAGTACGAACATGAGTGCAGAATTCTTGAGATGCCGGTGTTATCAATAGTTCAACGCATGGCAGAAATTTTGAAGACCGGGGTGTGCTCTTGTATAAACAAGAACGGCGACCTGATGACAAGATGATCATGGCTGCCGAAGCCATGTAAATGAACATGAGCTCCCAATCGAAGATGACGGAACCAATATTTCGTTAGCCGGTAGGTAAGAAATTCTGCGTTCTGTCCCAAAAGGAGTATGTTAGGATGATCTTAATAAAAGCCCTTAGTATATCGGAATCAGCTTTCCCAATATCAGTTATCAGCCTCTGTAAAGTTTGCTATCTTAAAAAATTAAAGTCCACCGCAAAAAACTGACTCTTAACAGTGTTTATAGAGGACTGATAAGCCCAAAAAAGTTCATCATACGATAATCTAAAAAAAATTTAATGAGTACAAACGACAAGCGCCAATCAAAAGAAATTAACTTTAAAATATTTAAGATTGCAGGTTCTCTTCTTTTTAAATAGTAACATATTTTAGGATTTTACTAGCAATCACTAAGGAAATCGTACCCCTGTTTCAATCTCATATGGGAAAGCTCGGACCCCAATTCTGGATAATTTCTTGAATTTATCACTAAGAACAATTAGTTTATTCTTAACCGGGGCAACGAGCTGACCTTTGTCAATGCTATAAGAAGGGAGGTTCTAGATTTGTCAACTTCCTCGATTAGCTTGTCGACCAAACTGGAATGTCTGAAATGCGGTGTATATGTCCGACAACCGGCATATTAGAGTAACAAACCAGATTTACAGAATTCCCAGAAACGTTGTGGAACGTTTCTCCCGGGAAACTAAAAAAAAAAACAAAAAACTCTTCAATAGGGCAAAGACAACAAGCGACTGGACCGCCTACAAGTCAGCCTTAACAGCTTACAACTGTGAGCTCGGTAGGTGTAAAAGGGCTACGTGGTGTGAGCGCTGTGGAATCACTTTTTCCCTCCAGAAGTGCATCGCCTTCAAAAGGCCTATAAACTGGATCCTCTCAACGTCCTATGCACTCTGGAAAGAGACGGTACCTACACTGGCATCCGGATGAAACCAGCAGGCTTCTGTTACAAACCCAAGAAACTGAAGTCATATAACAAACATTGTGAGCGAGGTATGCGCAAACAGGAGGAAGAAGTCCTAGCAGGAAGAATCGTCAGTATGGGAGAGACATCGTGGGCCATTTCAACCTTTAGTGCTTACAAATCTATTGCTCCAGATGGCATGCCTGCTACAACAGAGCATCGGCTTAATAACTGGCCTACTAGCAAGATTATTGAGAGCAAGTCCCTTACTTGCTCACGTACCATCAACATGGAGTGAAGTCAAAGTGGTATGTGGGGAAAAACGCGGCACAACTCTCAAAGGCGTATAGACCAATTAGCCTCAGCTCTTTTCTAGCAAAAACACTAGAAAAACTAATTGACTTTCACATTAGGGATAACCTTCTCAACAATAAGCCTTTATGTGAGAGTCAACACGCATATCAGGCAGGCAAATCTACTATTACTCCAATACATAACCTAACTCCAGTTATTGAAAAAAATGCAGTATAAACAGACAGTTTTGTGAGGATTCCTGGACATACCAAGTGCTTTCGACAACGCGTTTTATTGAGCAATATCGAAAGCTATGAGCAAGCTATACCGATTGGTCTGCGAAAGATCGAAGATGTATTACGGGGTACTGTGGCAGGCGTACTTGCACCAAGGTTCCAGAAAAGTCTGCCAATGGGCTTATACCCAACCATTTTCCAGGCGGAAGTCTTCGCTATCGAAATCTATGTTCGAGAATGGAGCCAGAATAACTATTATGTCGGATAGTCAGACAGCACTAAATGCCTTAGACTCATTTAGAACGACATGAGGGCTTGCCGACAGTTGTGAAACTCTTCTGAATTGCGTAGAAAACCTAAATAGAGTGACGCTGCGGTGGGTGAAGGGTTTGGATGCAACGAAAGGGCTGACTGTCTCGGAAAGCATCGAGCCAAACTGCGCATGCATGATCCCGCGCCTTGCAGCGGAACATATAAAGAATACACTGCAGAACTGCTCAGGAGTTGGAAAGAATTTCGGACTGCTGCCCACTGGCGGTAGTCAAAGGGAATGAGACTATCAAAGAAATGCATAGCTCCTTCCTGGAGGAACTCCGAAAGACTACTTGAACTTAGGACCCTCACAGGCTACCTGACAGGACTCTGCAAGTTTAGGTACCATTTGAAAAAACTGGGGCTTTCTGTAAAGATGGACTGCAGGTTTTGTGAGCTGGTGGAGGAAACCTCAGAGCATATGCTTTGTGACTGCCCACATATCATGAATCGTATGCTGATACACCTTGAAGAATGATTATCTTCTCCATCCAAAATTTGGAACACGGAACCTTCAACCGTGCTTAATTAATTGAATAGCCTAAGGTTGAAGTGAATACAATTAGGGTTAGGCACAATATTTTTTGATTTTTTTGGTCGCAGCGCAAGTCGAATTAATAATAATAATAATCACATAATTTCGTTAAGCCCACTTACCGGTAGCCTCTTCGCGGCAATCATCATCTGACCACTCTGATTGACTTTCCAAAGGATTCGAGTCCATCGACTGGTGATTATGATGTCCCGCACCGTACTTAAGTTCATCGTTTATCACATTCATTTCGACATGCCGATCTTCATCATCGTCATCTCCGTAGTCAGCATTATCGTCGTTTTTATGGTTATACGCGTTAACTTCGTGTTCATCTTCCTCATCTTCGTACGAGCTAAGACCACCGCTGCTAATCTTATTGACATGTTGCTCGTCCGTTAAAATTGTAACCAAACGTTTCTTCCGTACGTCACGTCCCACCTCATCATCTTCGAATTCTTCGTCAGCCAAATTATCTTCGGTATCATCGAGTTCAGTGTCATTATTCAGCGCCGCTGTATGATTAGCACGCGGTCGTTGATGGTGATGGTGGTGGTGATGATGATGGTGACGCACATGACGCTGAGGTTGCTGCTGCTCGCCAACATCGGCCAACTGATCGAGACTCTCCCGACTCTGATCGAGGTCCTTAGAACGTGGACGCTGGCGATGTCGATGGTTGTGATCCTTTGCCTGTGGCTGCATATGATTTGTTTCCCGATAATTTGTGCCTGTTGATGTGGATGACTGGTTGTTGACTGCGTCAAGTATGTTCAAATTTAGCTGATTGCAGTTTTCATGCAATATTTCACAGGATTCCGTATCGGAAGTTTGCCTAAATAAATGAGGATTGTATACATTTGTACGTGAAAGGCTTGTGGAATACAAATATTATATTGAATGAACATACATTTGGCTTGATTCTGATGGATTCTTATTTCGCGTAATTTCCTTTATGGCCTCCAAGCCCACCGGGTGTTTGGCAATCATAAAACTCGTGCTGATCGGTATTTTCGATGGCTGACGACCCGTTGTTGGCGAAGTAAGATCATCCAGCATCGTCGTGGTTAACGACTTTTGGTTGTTGTTGCCACTCATCGAGTTGCTGCCGCTGAGGTTGCCATTACTACCGCTGCCACCAGCTGCTAGTCCGTTATTCGAGCTCAATTTACTGTTACTCGCCGAGTAGCTCAACTCAATGTTATTGCGGCTACTGCTGTTGCTTGTCGTATTGCCTTCGGGATTGGTGTTGGAGTTCGAAACGGATGTGATGTTGCCGCCTGGTGAAGAGGTGGCGGCAGCAAGTGCACGCGCACGTGATGATTCATTCAAAAGTCTCTGCAATTCCCTCTCGAATGGCGACTTCGCCGAGTTGCTAGCTGATGTGGAGCCGCCACCATTGCCCCCACCACCGTTGCTACCACTGCCGCCGTTACTGGCTTGCTTTTTACCTACGGCAAGCAAAACGCGGTCTTGGTACTCAAAACTATTGCAGGAATCACCTTTGTTGTGTGTGGTATTCGTCTGTTGACCTTGACTCTCTGTTGTCGAGCTGACTTCAAAGTCTTTTAGATTTGACATGTCGACTACTGGCGACGTAGGATCCACTTGAATGTCGCATGGATATAACCACTGCAAAGGATTGGCACCGTTGCGTTGGTGATGATTATGCTGGCCCTTGGCTGTAATACGCGGTGAGTCCTCGTCACCCTCGCCTTCGGTCGTCTTTGAATAACTCTCATCTGAGGAACTCATCGATGGTGAATGTGGGCGTGAACTGAGATCATCGGTGGAAGACATCTCACGGCTCTCTTCGATCTCGGTTGGCAACTTCGGCAGCGGCTTCATGTAGGTAGTGCGTAAGAGAGGTGTATTCTGTTTCAGTGAGGCTGATGCTGAGGCTGACACTGAGGCTGTGGCTAATGAGGATGCATTTAGATTTGTGGGTTTGGGTGGTGGAACTGGTAATGGCGGTTGAGGATGTTGGGAATATAGTGGATATTGTTGATGTAGTTGTTGCTGCTGATGATGGTGATGTTGCAGCTGAAGTTGTTGTTGCAAATGTTGTTGATGTTGCTGTTGTAGCATTATGGTATTAGGACATGTGTAACGTGGAGGTTCGTATTTAGGTGGATATGCTTGGGGATGCTGTTGTTGCATTGGCATTATCTATGTATTTTGTGTATTAGTTCGCAAAAATAACGTATAAGCCAATGAACAATGTATACACCAACAATATAATGGTACACCATAACCGTGTTTGTAGTTGATTGAGAGGTGGACGAATGTGCGAGCGATCGTTGGACATAATTAAAGCCACGAAATAACATCGGATATTGTTTGCGAGGATATGTTTATTTATTTCAGTTTTATATGTATGTGCGTGTGTGTAAAATGTCGGTAACGAATACATGCAAAGAGATAACACAAATGTATGGTTCACATTAGAAATGAATGCATTAAAAGCTGGCAGGATACATATAAATAGGTACATACTATGTATAAAAAAAATTTATAAATAAAAATGAGTCTATGTTAGTCAAAGAGGTTAGTAATACATTAATTTGGTTAAGAACCACCCACACAGAGACTTCTGATGGCTAAATAAATAGATCACGGCAAGAGTGGGGGCTGCATGGAATGTGTAATACTAGTGGAAAAGACGTATCGAAGACCCATAGTAAAAACAGAGTGAATAACTCAGTGGGAGGGCAGGACCAGGATGAATGCATTTGCATAAAAATTTATTAAAGCAAAAATGTTTTGGGTAGGCGTTGGAGCCAATGATAATCATCAGTTACCACCTCTGCATGGTTGTAAGTCATGCAGAGTCCCTACGGCTTGTAGCGCTGTGGCTTTGCCGCTTAAACTCTGTAAGAGTTTTTGGGGGTGTGCGTCAAGCGGGAGTGTTGAGCAGCGGTTATTTATTCAAGTTCAAATATTGGGTAGGCGCTGTGGCCAATGGTAGCTCTTGTACCACCTCTGTATGCTGAAAGTCATACAGAGCCCCAACAGCTTGTAGCGCTTTGGCTTTTGCTGTTTAAAACCACTCCGCAGGAGTGGTGATGCATCAAGCGAGATTGTTGAGCATGATTTGAGGTGCCAGCAATTAACTACTTTAGAAGGTTTTGTTCTGCGGCAGTTGAGAAATGCATACCCAAAGAAGAACGAGCGAATTATTTTTAAGCACAAGTGCGTGTGTTTATTCGCTGCACTTGGTTTTGGGCGGGAGTGCAATACAAGTGCGTGTGTGTGTTCGCTGTTGTTTGTTTATGCGGGAAATGGATAAGTCGCTTAAACAGAGATTACGAGAAATTTTTATGGTGGGAATTTCGTATATTTTTAAAAGGCCTGACAGGTACTTACATACAGAGGTATTTGATCACTGATAGTAGACCAAATAACTAATGTTGAAATTTTTAAGTTTGGAGTTCGAATTAAGTATATCTAAAACCCCGCCGTTCGGATGTTCGTGTATACGGTTAAAGTACGGATATCCGTTTACCCAGAAATCGGTATATTCTAAGCAGTATTTGAACAGATTCGCAAAATTGTTCTCAAAACTACTGACTCTATAGAGTTGCAAAATAAGTAATAGTTATATTAATTTTAGTGTTAATTTTTAGATTCGAATAACGGCAATATTTAGTTTATATTCGGATATCCGGATATTTGGATTTTTTTATTTAGATATTCAAATATTCGGATTACCTGTACGGTCAAAAAATTTGGATAGAGCACCCACCCCTAGTATAAGGTAGAAATGAATCTATTCACTGTTACATTAACGCAGTATCTTCCAAGCTGAACTTGTGACTACACAGAGAGATGTGCCTTTATACGGACGAGGGAAATCTCACTATTTATATATATATAGCGCAAGTAAACCCTAAATTATAGTAAAGTTCCACAGATCACTTAACATGAGAACAAAGCAAAGAAGTGCTTTTCCCTTCCATTTTAGCCGCCTTGGAAATTATAAGTTAACTGCACGCGCACTAAGATTAGGGAGGGGGATACGGATGGTATGTGGTATGACATCTAGTAGATAGAGTATTTTCACAAGAACAAAAGTGAGAATAAAACAGTCGGGAACGTTGTCAACGGGAAACATAAAAGACCGAAGTTCTGTGGAATGTTCCCAAATAGAACGAAATGCGAACAATACTTTCGGGAACATTTCTCAGAGAACAAAGTGTGATCAAAAGTCTTTGGAACGTTCTGGCAAATAGCAAAACGGGAACAAATATCTAAGCAACGTTCTCTCAAAGAAACATTTGGAGCTAAAGTCTCAGGAAGTTTCTGACAGAGAACGAAATGGGGAACAAATTTTATCTGAATTATTCGCGAAGAAAGGAAGCGAGAAAAAAACTTTTCGCATAGCGTTTCTCATAAGTTTGCAATGGTTGAATATTAAAATTAAAAAAAAACAACAACAAAACAAGGAAGATAATTATGTAAATTATGTTAACAAAAGACTTAAGACACGAACTTTTCTTGCACAGAAAATGAACAAGCGTTCCATAAATTGATAGTTCACCTTAATAATAAACGATCCGGCCTAGAACTAACAATCATGGTTCTCACTAAAACGAGTTTTCATCCCAACACGTAGACGCCCCTCTCATTCTTAACGTTAAGTTCTCAAAACTCTTGTTCTCGGTTTGTTCTATGGCAGAACGTTTTCCAAACCTTTGATCTTATTTGATTTTCATTGAAAACGTTCTCAATACTTTCGCTCCCATTAGAAACGTTGCCCAGAGTTTTGTTCGTATTTTGTTCTTTACGGAAACGCAAACTTTTTATTGTAATTTTGATCCCGTTGAAAGTACTCTTAAAACTTGTGTTCCCATTTGGTTCTTTTGTGGGAACGTTCTTGACCCTCGGTCCCTGATTTTTAGAATTTTTTTTGGTCTAATAGCAAAACAACCATTGTTACGATTGTATGTAATGTGCGGATATTTGGTCTAATATTTCCTGCAGGGAATGTGACTGTGCCCACCACTGCTCTAATAACATTTATTCTAATGAGGGCACGAAGCACAGTTTAAAATATAGAAACGTCACAGCTGGGTCTTCGATATTGGGGTCAACAAACATGCATAGCTGATAACGCAAAGCCCACGGACCACTTTTGATATTTTATTTTTGTTGGTACTCAGGGTTCAAACATCAGTGGATGAGAGGGATTGCAGTGACGATCATAAGAGTATCTCCTCATTCCATGTATACTCATATTCACTCACCTTGGCAACTGGTGCGGCATGCAACAATGGTTCACTTTCACGGCAATTATTATAATTCAAACAATTACTATTCGTGCTATATGACGACGAATGCTGTTTGTTGTGATGCATTAGATGGTAATTGCGTGCAGCATGCGGTTCACGCCTACCACCAGCGCTTACAACACCACCACCATTACCGTTACCAAATAAATTGTTATAGCTTTCCACCTGGGCGTAGGGGTCATGATTAATGTACTCAAGCCGATTACCACCGGGATTTTCAATTATATTAAATTGTTCGCGTAAAATTACCATGGAGGGTGTGGCTTGTGCTGGTACTGGAACTGGTACTGGTATTTGTTGTTGTTGTTGTGTGGGTAGGGCGGGGGAAGAAGACGCTGCCATTGTAATCACACCCATAACACCAATGCCACCACCGCCGCCACCCATCGAACTGGAGGAATGTGATCGCTGATGATGTACATAGCCGCCGTTGTTGTATTGCTGCTGTGTTTGTTGCTGGGCTGGATGGTAGCCATTGTAGGCATAACCACCAACACCATTGCTACCGCCATTACTGCCATTATGTTCGCCATTGTGACCATTTTCTCGTATATTCGGGAGGCCACCGTTGGCAATAAAATTCGGTTGCTTTTGCAATTTACTATTCAAGCGCTGTTGTTGCTGCTGCGCCAAATGATGCTGGTATTGTTGTGGCATAGCTTGCTGCTGATGTAAAAGCAATTGTTGTTGCTCTTCCTGCACTGCATTTGGTGAAGTTTTCAACAGCATTTGGCTTGTGTCCATGTTGTTGTAACCGTAGTTATCTTTCTTAATGTTGTAGGTCTCACTGTTCATGTTGAGCTGATAGCTGTTATCTTGCAGCTGCGATTGCTTCTGATAATATTCCGCAGCGTGGGCATGCAAGCCATTCGATTGTGTCTGTTGCTGTTGTTGTTGCTGCTGTTGTGACGCATAGCCGTTGCCATTTTGTGTGATGGCACGATTGGCGATCATAGCGTTGCGCACCTCGCCATTGAGGCCATTATTCGAAGAGTCGCATAGAAAATATGTGACCATATCGCCTTTGCCTTTGACCTTGATGGTGCCGCGACAGCTGTTAAGATGTGTAAAAGATTCAAATTATTGCAAAGTTGAATACAATTGTAAAATTAATTGTACCGAAACTCGAAGTGTGAGCCCTGCAGGCTGTCCACGACCTCCTGTGTCACTTGTGTGTAACCAGGTATGCCTGTAGAGTCCATGCGGCTGGCAACATTTACGGTATTACCCCAAATGTCGTATTGTGGCTTACGTGCACCAATCACACCAGCCACCACAGGACCAATATTAATACCTGTAATTGGCAAAAAATAATATATTTTAAAAATAAGTAACAAAAACGGTTTCGGAGAGCGGAAAAGATTTTATTCACTCACCAACACGCAACATAAAATTGTTATATGAGTGACTGTTGATTTCCTGCAAGGATAGTCGCATTGCTTTCACATATTCGACTAAAGCTGTCATGTGGCGACGCACCGAATTGGGATCATTGGCGTTGATGCGATATTCTGGATATGAAATTTAAAGGTAATCAATATTCTTCCTAACGGTAAACTAAAATAATGTAAATAACTAGCTCTCAATACTGACCAGGTATAAGGCCCACGACAGCCATGTAAGTACTGCCAACAGTTTTGATTTTATCAATGCCATGGAAACGATCTTCTTTCAAAAGCTAAAAAAGGGTAAAAAAAAAAAAAAAAAATTTGCACATTGTACAACATGACGAGATGAATGCTTTATTTGGATTGATCACTCCGGTAAAATTTAAATAATTTAATGAATTTTATATAAGTAGTAAAAATTGATTAACCATCAACCACATGAGCAAAGTGGCTAAAATATGTACTACTACTAGGTCCGATAATTCTACTTTTGATATCAGCCTGATGAAAAGCGCAATCACGAAAGTTTGAGTCACTTTGATCGAAAATACGCGTAATCGATGGGGTAAGAGCTGTATGTATGTATGTAGAATAACTTAGCTTTAGGCATCCATTTGCCAATGAAAAGTTAGTTACTATTTTGACAACTTGAGGGAATGCATTCCCTCAGAATATCGCACACGTCCTTCGAAATCGCATTAAGCCTCCGTTAGGCGAACACCATTTTAGTCACTTTTGTACCTAATGGGTCTGACCAGACCCTTATACATTCAAATGCATTTTAATACCATTCAGTGTTGTGTTATTTGTTTGTTACTATTCAATATAAAATAAACAAAAACATTCCTTCTGTAACGTATAATTTAGCATAATACTAGTGTGTAAATTCAATAATGAGATAATATGATTTCAATGAATTTAATTATAAAAAGTAAGAATAGGTATTGCAAATTAAAAGATCACTTTTATTTTTTTGTCCTAAACTGATAAAGTTAGATGAACAAAATTCGATGGTGTGGCAGTGTACATATTAATCCTTAAAACATATTTTTTTCAAAAATAACTGTTGAATACTTTCAAGGAGTTTCAAGGATAATGTATTAAAAATAAATTTTCATAATTTATTTGTTCTTGGTCACAAAAAAAAAATAATTTCTTTCAATTCCACAGTGGACCACGTCCACTTTTTTATTTTTCTCTAGCTCAAAGGTCCGTAATCTTTAGGTATGCCAAGAACCCTTTGGAGTGTTTAAGAAAAAGATTCTACGTTACAGACTTCAGCGCATTGGCTACGGTAAAATGCAAGTGATTTACAACGACATGACCATCTAAAAATCAAACAAAAGAGTGACAAATATATGGGTTGAAACCCAGCTCTCGGATCTGGCCAGAGGCTAACATAAAGTCCTGTCAAATTTCTTAAAATATTTTAAGAAGTTATAAGGACGCAGTGCATATATTTATCGGTCGAGACAAAGCATTAAGCCCACCTTCCGCAAAACCCATTTCCACTTGTATTTAGCGACAGGTTGCAAAATTTACAATAAATTTTATTTTATAAAAATCGGTATCACTCACCTCATCGAAATCCGCAATTATCTCATTCAACAATCGCAGACACTCCAATCCTTGATCCGATCCATCCATTTCTGTGTAGAACTCATGGAAGTTCGGTACCGAAGCGAAAATAACACCGACTTTAGCATAGCTTTGATGATAGAGTTCCTGTGAGGGATTGACCTATATGATTTAGCGACAAAAGAAACCAACAACAATCGCCAAAAAAATATGCTTGATTAAAAGTTTCAGGGGATAAGAGAGTTGGCAACACACAAGTGTTTGATACCCAATGCCGCGCCACTAACGACAACCGGGCAGAACGACACGACACAACATAAATTTTTCAAAAATCGGCGAAATAAAACTGGTAACAAATAAAAATTTACAACAACGCCAAAAAGTACAAATATCAACGGTGTCATGTAGCACACAAAGTACTGCAAAAAGTGAAAAGTACTTTATTAAGTCAAAGTATTTATGCAGAAAAATTGAAAGATGTGCGTGTTTTTGCAGCATGAAAAGTTTTAAAAAATGTTTTGCATGTAAAAAATCTTTTACGAACAAAACTGAAACTGTTTCGACTGCAGTTTAGTTTCGTAAGTTTGATTTCTGTGTGGATGGAGTATTTTAAAGCGTGTTTAATTCTGGTTCTTTCAGTTGGGTTTGGGAAAAGTGTGTGAAAATTACTGTGTCAGAGTATATTATTTGGCATAATTGAAGCATCTGCATCTGTGTACTCGTGTCTGTGTGCAATGTTGCCTCTTGTTCCTGACGTGCCAAACGCTTAGAACTTGTTTGCTCTTCGAAAATCGGGAACTGAAAAGTAATATGTAAGAGCTGCGAATGCCAAGCATGCATATTCATACATACATACGTAGGTATGTAATCACAAAAATAGGTGTACAACTTGCGGTGTATTTTTTTTTTTTCTTTAAGCAACAAACTATTTACCATATTGCTGCGAAATTGGTTATCGAGAAAATGTGCAGCCACATGAGCTGGCAGCAAATTATGTAAGATCCGTTTATTTGATTCCTGTAAAACGTCCATCTCCTTTTTCTCCTGTGATGCTTGCAGCTGCCAGAGGAAATCCAATCGTGCCGTCCACTCAACCAAACGTCCATGTACCAATATTGCAATCATGAAAATTATAATACGCGCCAATGAGATCAAATGGAGCGGAATGGATGAGCTGTGAAGGTAGGCGACAAAATATAAAATAAAAAATAAAATGAATTTAATCAAAGCGAAGGACATAGATTAAATCTTTATATTCTACATAATGAATGAAAAATAAATTTATAATCAGCATAATCTGAATAGTATCTGGCCGCAACAATTTCATAGAAATAACAAGGACTTTCAAATACGTATGTACACACATATGTACATCCATGTGTATGAGCAGTATGTACATTTACTTTACCTGTATTCGCGTTTGACGCAGATATTTAACAGTCATTACACCATTTTGAAAAGCGGCTTGTTTTACGAGGGAGTGAGGCATTTAGTAGGTATTCCCCGCTATTTCAATGCTGATTACTCTGTGCGACAATTTTACGGTAAATCAGGGGCCTATATCATAAAAGTGACTGGTGCGACAATTGTCGATTTTTCTATAAAATTTCAATGCCAGAATTGTCGGCGACATTTTTTCTGTTTCATATACGCTTGTAGGCAACTGCGAAAATTTTTAGAAAACGACAGTGATATTATGAAATATTGTCGACAATTGTGCTGACAATTGTCACTCTGCTAAAATTGTCGCGACAATAGCGACAAAACCAAATAGCTCCGTCGTAAAGCTTTCACAGGAGAGCTTTGTAAACTTATTTATATGGTAATTGCGCGCATTTCATTACTTTTCAATACTTTTAATATTTCTTGAAACTAAAATAACGCAAATGCAATTATTACATATGATTTACATATAAATTACAATTTTGTCTACGACAATTTTAAACCCCGACATGACACTTTTTCAATGGAATTTCTCATGGAATTAATTCGGTGGTGACAATTATTTTTATGAAACAAAACACCCCCAAGCTGTCGCATTGTTACTGACAACATGGAAAATGCCTGTCGTTACAAAATTATCACTGTCGCTTTTTTAAATAGGCCTCAGACTAGGGGGTGATAATTTTGTAATGACAGGCACTTACCGTATTGTCAGGGACAATTCGACAGCTTGGTGGGTGTTTTGTTTCATAAAAACAATTGTCACCACCGAATTAATTCCATAGGAAAATTCATTGAAAATGAATGAAATTTGTATATAATCGATATGCAATAAATGCAAATTCATTATTTTAGTTTAAAGAAATATTCAAATACTCGAAAAGTAATTAAATGCGTTTAGTTACCATATAAATAAATTTACAAAATTCTGCTGTGAAAACATTCAGCCGAAGCTATTTAGTTTTGTCGTTATTGTCGCGACAAATTTGTCAGAGTGACAATTGTCATCACCATTGTCGACAATTACCTTGTTTATATGGCACCAAGCGCGGTATCGAATTA